GTTTTCTTCTTCAACTTATCACAGCAATAGTAACAACAATTAGGTAATCATTGGCTGTCGCGGGCCAGATTGATGACAGTAAATCATTGGCTGTCGCGGGCCGGATTGATGACACTGTCGGGCCGGATTTGGCCCGCGTAGTTTGGAGACCCCTGCTCTAGATTGAAGGATTTGTTCGAAAATATGTCCAAGAATGTCGTTGAAAAACACTTTACTTGTGTATATGATAATTTGTACAACACATCATTTGTTAAGTATTTTTAATCGAATGTTGGCACCTTGGCACCGAAACAGCATGTATATTATTCAGTTCACTCATCAATTAATGATTTCTTACGTTCGTAACTGTGCTAAGGTAGGTAAGTCCTAACAAAACTCCATCCCATGCTCCGATGCCTGCTACAACTCTTGGTATTGGTCTTCTGTATCTTACAACGAGTTTGTGAGCATCGAGTCGCATTTCTATTACATTTTTTATTAAAGAAAGAAGGGGTCCCAGTGGAAAAGAGGCCACGAAGAATGTTATAAACCCAAATTCAATTACTGAAAAAAAAAGTAAGCCTTTAATATTCGTGGGAATGATCTGTTTCAGGGTATTCATTGCATATAATATCTGAAGAAATTACTTTAGTGATATGAATTAATCCGAAGGAAATTCCCATTGAGAGAAAGAAGAAGGATTATCTTCAAAAGCCGTGGAAGGAAAAGGAATACCTACGCGAGGAAAATGCAGAATTGAAAGGGTTTCCTTCAAAATATATGGATACGATTTTCTGGACTTTTTATATGTTGTAGTTCAGGTCATGCCGATCAGAAGTTACTGTCGACACAACCTTCGTTATTTAGCAGTTTGGGAATTACAGGGTATCAAATATTGACAGTTTGTTGGTTTCGCCTGTATCAGTTTGAATTCTTGGTATGTTGTAGTTAACAGTATGTATTCAAAAAAAGTTTCATCGCAAAACTTCTTCAAGACAATATTTATGGATACACAGGAAATTTTGATAAGTTATTTAAATTCATTTCTGTGAATATCTATAAGGAAGGGCCACATATTTTTATCATCCGTTATCAATATGATATGAAATAAATTTCACTAGTTCGGACTTCCATTGTCTGATATATAAAATGATTTGAAATCCCTGAAACAATTAAAAAAAGAAGAATTAAAAATGAATAGCTGAAAATAACAATTATATTAAGCAAAAATAACCTGAAATGAAATGATGGTGAAATAAAATACAAGTAAAAATGGAACGATTGAACAAAAAATTAAGAAATAAAAATGATAATATAAATATAAAGTTAAGAGATTCCAAGTGGGAGATGACCGTTTGGCGGGAGTTGGCCATTTTTCGCTTTATGATGGGTTTCCATATGTTGTGTATCTTTACGCTAACTTGGCTGAATATGTTGTTGGACAGCATGTATGCGAGTTCCTTGAATTTTCTCCTAAACCAATGTTCCTCCCTGTGTATGATCTCAGCTTGGGACCACTCGATGTTGTGTTGATAGGTCTAAACTTGGTCTGCTATTCCTGATTTGCTGGTTTCCCCTCGCTGTGTGTGTTTCTTGTGCTCGGCAACGCAATTGTGAAATTAAGAGGCCATTGAATGTTCGCATTGCCGAGCACAAGAAACACACACAGCGAGGGGAAACCAGCAAATCAGGAATAACAGACCATGTTTGGACTCATCAACACAACATCGAGTGGTCCCAAGCTGAGATCATACACAGGGAGGAACATTGGTTTAGGAGAAAATTCAAGGAACTCGCATACATGCTGTCCAACAACGAATTCAGTCAAGCTAGCGTAGAGATACGCAACATATGGAAACAAATCATCAAACGAAAAATGGCCATCACACTTCTATGTTCTCAATAAATGAGCATACTACATATTCTTTGTAGCCATTGGTTTCTAAAAATTTGACGTTCAAGATCACTGAACCTAATCATTTACCTTCAGAGATATTAACTCAGGCTGCTTTCACTTTCCTTGAACTCAATTATATTCGTTTTTGTGAACACGTAAGAAAATTAATAAATTCAACACTTGGAAAACAGCCAACTCCCCCCAAACGGTCAGCTCCCGCTAAACCGGTGAAGCGGAAAGGGAAAGAGTGGATAGGTGGAAGCATTCGAATGACCCATAAATAGTCATCTCTCGGTGGAATCATTCCAGTTTTCACCCGAAGACGATTGTAGATACTAACAATCGAAACGTCGTGAACTAACGTGGCTTGGAATCTCTTAACTTTTTATTTTTAACCTCTCTCCGCTTCACCGGTTTAGCGGGAGCTGACCGTTTGGGGGGAGTTGGCTGTTTTCCGAGTGTTGAAATTTATTAATTCTCTGACGTGTTCACAAAAACGAATATAATTGAGTTCAAGGAAAGTGGAAGCAGCCTGAGTTATTATCTCTGAAGGTAAATGGTTAGGTTCAGTGATCTTGAACGTCCAATTTTCAAAAACCAATGGCTACAAAAGATATATAGTATGCTCATTTATTGAGGACATGGAAGTGTGATGATTTTAAAATGAAAAACTTTCTATCAGAAGTCTCAAAAGTCTTTCTGCCCAACTTGACTATCGCCAGTGAAATCGGTGTTTAATTTTTTGACATTTAAAATAGAAAAAGGATAGTTTTCTTATCTAATCGAGAAACTTCTCAAAATTACTGACGGGCACCGACTCGGAAAAAATGACAAATATAATGGAAACTGAAGTCACTACTCATAATTTAGTTGAATAGTTTTCATGTTGCACCTCTGATACTTGCATTCTTTCTCATTAACTCGGTTATCAACTGTAATATGGCTTAATGAATGTACAATAATTTGTTACTCATGATATAAATTGAATACGTACTAGCTACTAATTCACTCATTTGCAGTGAGCTATTTCTACTGAGTTACAGAATGAAGTGATGGTAAATTACTTATGGAATTGATCAGAAGGTCAGTAGTGGCAAGCTACTTACTCATTTCATGCAAGTGAAGTAATTTGTTTAAGGGAATATACTTACCTTTAGGCATCTTATTTTCCTCAACTTCACTTCTTTTCCTTCTACGGAGAAGGTATTCCTTCATTTTTTATTTAAAGTGTAATCCTTCTTTTTATTCATATCCCCTTTCTCCCCGATTTATGAATGTTACGACGTAATGTTTTTCATCAAAAATTATAAAAAAAAGTAATGTCAACCCAATTTACATTTCTTCAAGTCGATTAGTTCTAAGGGTAAATAATAATTACTACTGAAACTGACCCATCTCACAAAATTCGGAGGTCAACAAATATCTATTTGTTGGCAAGAGCTTGTATTCTTCTTCGTATTGTGGCAAATCATGTAGATCTTCAGTTTCATTCCAATATTTCAATTTCAAGGTTCGTTTGAGAAGTTGCTTGGCGGGACTACAAAAACAAAATGATAATTAATGAATTATTTCAAACAATTTTATCACTGAAAACATTCAATGTTTATTAATATTTCAATTGTGAAAAACAGTATAGGTAGGTACCTATCTATTATAGCTGATTAACGGAAAATCATATTTTTTACAGATTTTTGGACAGATCTATAATTGCTTATAAGTATGCTATTAACATTATTGTAGTAGGTATTTCATCTTATTTATTTTTCCATTTTTTCACCATTTAGGTTTCGGTGGAAAGCAATCTTCAGAGGTTTTGGTTGTCTGAGATAATATTATTGAAAAACTGTAAATTAGTACTTTAAATTTGTTAAATTTTATGTTGGAGTAACATTATCAAAGTCATTTCCTTCTGAATTATCTAGGAAAATATTTTTCAATCATCATGTTTTTGGAGAAGAAAAACAATTATTTTGCATTAATATCTACTCAAATGATAAAAACGGTTTATAGGGTACAGTACATAGAAACAAAAAAGGCTTCAAGTACCATTTCGTTCGATACACATTGGTATCTCTGTGACTGTCGCACGCTTTGTAATATTTCTGGTGTATCATATATTAACGTACACGCAGCTAAAATTCTTGCTGTTAAATTTTCAACAGATTCTACAGGTCTCGAATACACCCGGGACTTGAAGTATCTCCACAAAAAAAGTCTAGTAACGTTAAATCCGGAAAACGTGCAGGGCAGTGTATGAGATCACGTCTATTCGTTGAAAATGGCCGGTGCTCCGTCATATTGAAACTACATCTTTTGACGAACCAATAGAGATACTTCTTCAAGTAGCTCAGGTAAAACATGTTCAAGAAAAACTCGGTAGTTCTGTCCATTCACACGGGGAGAAAAAAAAAGTTTTCCAAGTATATGATTTTCGATAATTCCTACCAAATGTTGACTGAAAAGTTCTGTTGGTAGCTTTTTTGCGCATTCCATGCGGATTTTGTTCATCCCATAAATGGCTATTCCTATACTACTGAAATACCCCTCTCTTGTGAAACTTGCCTCATCCGTGAATAAAACAAATCTGGGAAAGTTGTTTGCTACTTCGAACATCCTCAAAAACCATCCACAAAATAATCTACGAGGGCCATAATCACCAGCATCTAGGGCCATCACCTTCTGCAGGCGAAATGGGTACAATAGTTGTTCACGTGCTACCCGACTGTTGATTGTGACACTTGTAAACCATAAGAAATGGCTCGAATGCTCGTAGAAGGATCAGCTGCTAATTGTTCAAGAATTTGTTCTTCCGTAACATTATCTCTTGTTCTATTCGTACCACAATAGTGTTTACTGAATTTAAACGACCCTGTTTCCTTCAATCGTCGATGCACAGCAATAAAAGTAGTGAAATGTGGATGAAGTCTGTTTGGATATCTATTTTGATATAACTCAGCAGTAGCTCTGGCATTTCCCCCTGTTTCACCATTAACGAAATACATATCTGTATATTCTTCGAATGAATAATCCATTTTGACACAATCTCCACTGACTGAAATGATAACAGATGGCTTGACAACAATACAAACTCGTTTGGGTTATTGTCAATCATGTCTAATGTAAGTATCGATATATTAGTTTGTTTCTACCGGAAACAATGACGGTCTAATTCAGACTCATCCGAACCATTTTTTCAATTCTTCTATTAGCTTCATTTTTTAACTTCTGAGAATGCTCATGTACTGGTCCTACATTTTTTTCTTTCGATTCGTGATAACTAATTGCATAGTAGAACTTTCCGGACTATTTTGTATGCCATTGACCAATGCATAAAAAATACACAAATTTTTCAGTATTGTTTTTTCAAAACCATATGGTGAATAGATCGATTTTTCTTGATAAAGCAATTAGAAAGGGCTCTAGAAATGATACTCCAACATAAAATTCAACAAATCAAGAGTACTTATCTTAGGTTTCAGATCTAAACTCCCATTTGAGTGGAGTATTATGAATTTAAAATTGCGTTTGTTTTTCAGTTAATATTTCATTCTCATTCTGACCCACCCAAATTATGTTTTCGATTCTGCCTACATTGAAAAATGTTCTGAGAGTTGACAACTATTCCGATATGTTGTAAGAAACTGGCATCATGCGATTATTGCACATAGGAAATTACGTTGGTACTCAAGACATATCTTCAGTTTTTCTCAATTATCTCAGAAACCTTCACTTTTAGATACATAGAATGTTATGACTTTTAGGTGTACTATCGATGAGCCTAACTTATGTCAAACGCTCATTTATCAATTCAGTTGTCCAAAGAAAATTTGTTCAAAGAGTATATATAACGAATAAAAAAACTGTCGGTGTGTTTCTAATTTACCTGTACTATGTTATGAATACTACCAACATTAAAAAATGTGAAGGAGGTTGACAATTATTTCTATGTTATAAGAAAGTTGCATCATGCGATTGTGGCACACAGAATGTTATCGCTTCTCAGGACATATCTTCAGTTTTTCGCAAATATCCCAAAAACGTTCACTTTTAGGCAAATGGAATGTTATGACTTTGGGGTTGGAGGAAAACTGATGAATTTCTCTCTTTTTATGATCATCCATACAAATTAAATAAGAGTAAATTTCACTTAACTGATTAAAATCGGTTTTGTTTCATTTAAGAAATTATTTGTATCATATGTATCATTTCTAAGAAAAGCCTCTTGGTAATGATTTTTTGTAGATAAAATTTTTATTGAGTTATAATCCATGCAGTGTCCTTCCTTAGAGACTTGCTCACTCAATTCACACCTCTACGGGTGCAATCTACTGTCACTCTTGTTTGCTGTGATTCTAATCTGTATGTTTGTCGTATACGTTCTTTATCACAAATGCGACAAAGTATACAGTAAACTACATCCGAACAGTTCGTGCAGGGAGTTTCGTCTTTCAATTTTGAAAATATTCTATCAAGTGTTAAAACATTTTTGTTTGAAATTTTATTATTGTTGTTTACGGATTTGAAAATTCTAGATGAACCTGGGGTCACATCTTTGATTAAAGGTAATGAAGCATAAAGAATCGAAATTGGAATCAATTCAGAGCCTCTACATTAATTGAAATAATGTGAAAGATTGTTCACATTAGGTGAAACATAATATTATTCAAATTATCTATGGATGAGGTACAACTTTTTTAGGAATTATGAAGTATATGAATTTTGACAGGAAAGGAAATCCAGGATTTTTTATGGAAAGAAATGTCAGAAAATTTGAGAACCCTTTCTTTCATTTGATTTGTTACATGGGTCTTTATGTTCTGTTTATGGTATGATCAATCGTTAATGTAGCAACCGGCCATTCTGATCATTCCCATATTGATTTCAATTTAAGTGAAATCACCTATTGGTGTGACACCCAAGTCAACTTGTCAAGTTTTTATGTCAGTGTTGGTGGTTTGACCAATCAACCGACAACTTCGGTGGCAGAAATTTGGAAAGCTATCCTGGAATGCCATTGGAATCCACATGTTTCTAGAAATGATATGCAATCGAGAAAGGTTCGTGTAGTAAATTTGTATGTAAATTTGACATATCATTTCTAAATCATACTGATAAAAGTTATTCAGGATGAAAAATGGCTCTTCACAAAGTTTCAGAAAGATTTATCTTTTTTTAATCATTTTGATCAAAGAAAATTGATTGGATTTACTCACAAATAACATTCACAGAATGTAATAATACTACTGCTTCGCATACGAAATATTTCTTCAAAGTACCTTTCAGACAACTGAAAAGTTTACCCCGAAAAGTTACTACTTAAATAAAATGTAAACCACTGAAAAGGCCAATTAGTCAGTAACCTGTCGTATTCATGCATCTTGCCTACAAGTTGACATACGTATGTCAATACAGCTTTTTTTAAATTGAGGCGAATTTTTTCAATTGAATTTTGAGTTCTGCACACAAGAAGATTGTTTCCGAAACGTCGACCACTAAAAAAAGCTGGGAATAGAAATTTTTTCCAAAATTCATGAATAGTACAAGTTACTGACTGATTGGACTTTTCAGTGGTTTACATTACGCAGGAATTTTCCGGGGTAAACTTTTTAGCTTGCCCTTTTTTACGCTTCAGCAGATTCTTTATTGATTCAGTTTTGTTTATTTTTCAGATTGTGGACGGTTATATACCAAAAAAACAGTAAGAAAAAAAAGACATAAAGTTCTTGTATAATCCATTTTCAAAAACTACGTCAAAACGGGTAACATCCGATACATCGTATATATGAAAATACAGAATACTCACGGTAAAATCAGTGCCAGTATATTTCCAAACATTCTTTTGAATATGATCAGGAAAAATAATAGCGTGCATAAGTCTACGACGCAAGTTAGTGGAGTACAAGAATCTTTTGTGATGACAGGCATACTAACGATAGTACCAGGTGTACTAGATAAACGACCCTGAAATGATTGAATGAATTGAAGAAATGAATCAGCCGTCATTCTGCTTGGTTCCGATAGCGGAGCCACCAATCTTTTGCTTTAAAAAATATGTTCTTTTTCCAAAATATGTGCTAATGGTTTGAAATATTGATTTAAATTCAGTACTAGAAGTATATATTATTTTGTGGCGATTGTTGGTTCTATGGAAAACAAAGAAGCTGTGTGCAAAATAAGTGCTCTGTTGTGCTTGAGGACCGTTGAACATTGGTTATAAAGTTGAAAAACAGTAATTGTACTATTCTCAGTCCCTTCCAGATACCAAATTCAATTAGAGAATATAATTAAGAAGAAAGTAATATATTCATTAGGTTCATTGACACATCTGTCGAGGAGCTGAATTTATTTTAATGTTCTAACAATATATCTGAATGTTTTTTATCAATTTCGAAATCAGTAATCACCCGAAGACGATTGTGGATACTAGCAATCGAAACGTCATTATACATAGAGAACTGACTTATACAGTTCTCGAAGGAATAAGTCCGGCGATCACCCGAAGATTATTGTGGATACTAAAAATCGAAACGTCGTGGAGTAACTTGAATTTTTCATAGATTCCTTCAGGAATTTCAAATCAATTTATATCATATTAGACAATGGAAGTTCGAACCAATGAAATTCATCATGAAACATTGTCAATCACCTTCAAAAGGAAGTTTGGGCTCATGTCGATCTGAGGTCCAAGTAAGAAAAGAATTGGAGTCAGAGCTTCAACATTTTCATATTCCAAATGAACTTTTGTGAGTGATCGATGATTCAATATATTTTCTACTTCTAGAGGAAGACTATGTATTACCGTTGAAGGTTGCTGGTAGATTTGAAAACCCAGTTCATGCCTTGAACGGAAAGTTTGGATGTGATAACATTTTGATTGAAACTTTAGTGTACAAGAATTTCCTCTTCTAGAATACATTCGTTAGATCACCATTATTGCGGAGTCAGTGATCAATGCATTCGCTATTTCTAGGTGCACTGCTCACGGGAAATTTCGAAAATTCATGTTTTTCATCTAATATTACAGATTTTTTTGCAAATCAGATATGTCACAAGAAACACGACTACGCACCCTAAGAATATTACATCCGTCCAGGTAAGAACAAAGTTTTTTTGATTTCGCTCTTTTCAAATTCTTTTTTCCTGTAGTTCTTTGATTTCCTTCACAAAATAACTCTGTTAAACAAGCTTCCACTGAAGTTTTTCAGCTTCCTAAATTTCTTCGGCTTCAATTCTCCTTCTCCTGTCTGTTCGATTATAATACAAATATACGATTTTTCTATTTCCTACGTCAATTTTTCATTTTTTAATTACTTCCTCCGGCGAAGTATCCTCATTTTCATTGGGCATTTCAGGTTCTTCAATATACGTATTATCATCCTTTGGTATCTTTTTTTGCTGCAACATGTATAAGGCTAGTACCCATCTTCATTTCGCTATTTCTAACCTAATCCACCACAGAACAATTCTAGAGTCTGTCCAAAATTTTGATTTATCTGATTTCATTTCGGAGAACTGTAGAAATAGTTTGCTTCTCATAACTGCTGCTTCCAATTCAAATTGTGGAATTGTTACATGCAACAAAGAATAACATCGCGGACTTTCGATTTCATTTAACTTTTTTGAACTGTCAATTCACTTGAACTTTTTGAAAATTTCTAAAAGTACGTTATTGTCCCATTTGATGTCATATCTCCACAAATCTTGTAGAATAATTCCCACCTTCATGATTGAATTATTGAGGGATCCTAAAGGCTCAAAAATAATCATTGCCAACTTTATATTTTGTCTTTTGGTCAAAAATATGTTCACTTCCAATACATTTTTTGTTCCATTCATGAAAATCAAAAATAAATGTAAACAGTGAACATATCTTTTTCGGGATGCCAATAATTATCCAAAACTTTTTTAACAGACAGTTCAATATTCGAATGAATTCTCTAGATCGATTTAGATCTAAGGGTTTCAGGTGATTCATTAATAACCCATTTAGAAATAAAAAATCAATTCCGTATCTCAAATTCACCTTTTTTTATGAAAGTAAATTACCTATTGACACAATTCCAGTATAATAACTTTCAAGAAAATTATTATCATATTGTTTGTTGACAATAGCATGATAAGCTCTGGGAAAGGCAAGTCTGCAGTATTTTTGTTTTTCACATATCGTGCTATGAAGGGTGGAATGGTCTGTCCTCCCTTCTTATAACTACTCGATGAAACATGTAGCGTATATCCCCACAAAATGCGATTTTTCTTCAATGGAAAGTCCACAGGATTTTGGTGATCAGGACTTCGGAATAACATGTCATTCAGACTCAGTCTATTGGACTGCGGAATCGAACATCATCCGTAGTTTTTCTGGTTCATTGGATTGATTACCGCGAAATGAGAAAGACATCATTCTTCCTCTGACTCATTTTGACTATTTTTTTGCAAATATACTTCAGGAATATATTCCTTGATTTCATCGCAATATATGTTGGCAAACTCACTGTTCCGATTCATTTTGCTCTCCTGATAGTACAGTCGAGATATTCTTCCTTTCCGTAACAATACTATCCTCGTTTTTTCAAATTGAGCCTGTTGCGAGACTCTCACAGATTCTTTTCATGTTTATTTCAATCAGTTTTGAAATTTTGTCATCGTTATCAGTATTTAAATTTCCAGAAAAAAATGACTATTCTCAAAATTCAATGAATTTTGTATAACGTGAAGAAAGTCATAATCTAAATTTCTATTACGAATAAAAAAATTGAATGAAATGTCAACTTTATATTTTAGTACTTGAAAGTTTATAACCCACCCCAACCTATTGAGTGTGGCTCTAGCTCCAAACCTTGACTGCTCCACAAAATTTCTAGGGACTAGTTAAATCATAATTCTCAGAATATATGAGCATTTTTGGAACAACGTTTCTAAAAGACTGTATATTTCAAATATGGATAAGTGCGAGATACCTTTTTCATGTCAAAGAGTTTATTACTAGATCTAAACATTTCAGACACCAATAACAGTAAGACTTTTGACATTTGAAAATGCACCTATTATTTGTATACTAACTATTGTAACAAATTGATCAAAACAAAAAAAGAATAACTATCTGACATAGATTATGTTAATTTATTGGAATATATTGAAAAATTCGTTGGTCATCTTCGATTACTTTGGAGTTTGCGATTGGCTGGACATACTGGACAAAATGATGGAATATTGGCCTTAATTGAGGCATTACGTGAAGAAGGTATAGATTATTGACCTCAGTATTATAATGTCAATGAGTGAAATCTGCTCAGTTGCCCACAGATACTTACAATGAATAGAACAATTGACAAATTTGGGAGTAGGAGAGATTATGTTAGTAACCCAAATGTTAGAAGATGAGGTGTTGGATCATTTGTTACACCAACTCTCTCTGATGATTATGATATTCAGAATAAGCGGATGCAGAAACCGAGTAAGTTGATACTTCCATAAGTTGAACTCAGTCGCTGAGCCACTACCTTAACTGTAAGTGATTTAAGTATCGCAAAATATACAGGATATGAAATGGATACATGAGACGGTGCGTCTGAATTTTCCCCGTTGAAAGACTAATTTTGAATCGAAATTGTCAGGAAGGCAATGAGCCAGAATTCCTCTTTTCCGTTTTGATTGCCATTAAGAGCAGATATGTTACGGATAAGCAACATCATTTTAAGATTTGAATTTCATGTTCGAGATGTATATTTCATCATCGTTTACTTTCAGGAAAGAATAATTTTTTTAGAAAGAAAAATTTTGACTTTCTACTTGTTCAACTTCATTTGAAAAAATGTGAGAATCTTCCACAGCAAGGAAGAGAACAATCAATTTCGAAATAAACTCTCCACAAAGGTATGTAGAATATCCAAAAAGTAACATTCAGACACAAAACTGAAAGGAAAAGCCCTCTGGAAACAACTACTCATATATAAACATTGAATAACAGGAAAGAAAGTATTGTTTCGAAACAACTGCTTCCATATATGATCATTGCATTATACAAAAATAATTTTTCCAATACAGTTTGTACTCCAAACATTCGTTTTGGAATCACTGAAATGTGTAGATCACGCAAAGAAGTAATTTCCAGACACAAAACTGGAAGGAAGAGTCCTCTCGAAACAACTACTCTTATATGAACATTGAATTACAATACAATGGATTTCCACATTTATTTCGTATGAGAATGGAGAAATAGAAAGCCAAAACATTTTTTTCCTAACATTATTTCTGTACTGAATATTGTGCACTGTTAGGATGCAAATGAGTTCCGTATCGATGATACAGGTTATTTATCACTGCAAGTGGTGAGTATTATAGAAATTTCAAAACTTTTCACTTTGTTAATTTTTGTTCTGTATTTTTTTTGGGGTAAATCACTTACAAGATGGAGATCGTTGAATCCATAATTTTTTGTTGGTTGTGTAGACCATTTCCCATTTCGACTTCTTTGATGATCATGCCTCGAAAATAAATTATTTTTGCTGTTTGCTCCAATATTGGGTCAAGGCATGAGAAAGATAATCCATCTCTAATGGGTTATTTTTCTCAGGGGTTGCCTGCAGATTGATAACTTTTTTATCGGAAGCATCACAAAACCGCCACATGTTTGACAATTTCTTTTTCACAGCCTACACATAGGAAAAGAACCCCATGATTTTGTTATCCTCATCTACATTTTTGGAAAGAGGAATTTTTTTGGCAGCTTCTTTTTCGGGAGGAACCACTTGCACCTGGGGAAGGGGTGATGGTGGTGGTAGTAGAAGATGCTCCAGTTGCTCCTCAACTTGCACCAGTTGGAGGTTTGATCCAGTTGACGGTCCGGCGATGACTCCTGGTAGTGGTGGTGGAACAACTTGCATCTGAGGGTGTGGTGGTGGGCTTGATCTCCAAAGCACCTATACTTGAACAACTTGCAATCGGCGGTCTGGCAGGTCAAGCTCTGATCGGTATTTTTTCTCATACACCGTCTGAAGAGAGCTCAGCTTGTCACCCATCTTTCTAGATGATGGCTTCAATGCTTTACTCGTAAAGCCGTTGTCAAAAAACATTAACACGACCGTTGGTCAAATTGTGTCCTCTACCCATTGTGGAAACGAATTGATTGAAATTATTTCATTATTTTCAACTTGAATATATTTAGTTTTCGATACCAATATTGATTTTTTTAGAAAATTATGATTTAGTTTTGAATTGGACAAAAAAAATGAATCAAATCCATTTTGGGGGCCGGTAATACTGCATCTTCATTTGTAATTTTGAACTGTTATTATTATTATTTTTGGCATGGAGCGACTCCTAAGGGCACATACTCAAGACTCAATTGGAATATGCTCATCTACCTAAAACCATATATACATAGACCTACCTACGATCTCTTGCTACGAACAAAAAACGTGAATCGCTATTACTTTTCTAATCATCCATTTCGCCGTGTGCCATCTTCGACTGTTTGGCAACTTTGGTTACCCTCCCGTTTTGTTATGCAATCCAGTGAAGCTGGAGAAAGAACCCTCCAAGAAAGGGCCCTTTAAGGAGCAGCGATTTGGGTTCGATGAGTTCATTTCATGCCACAATGTACAATCCTCCCTTGTATCATTTTTTAGAGTGTTTGAATACGCGACATTGGCCTGCTTCTCCACATGGGTACCTTTTCACTGTCTCTTTTCTTCTTATTCGGACTCTTGAACTCATCCTCCGAACTGTTTTACTGAGCAATGAGCATCTTGTATATAATACCACGTGATCATGAGGAGTATTTGGAATGACTGAAACATTCACACCACAGTTCTCATAAGACCACAACCTCCTCTACTCCAACCCAAAGTGAAGTTACGAGGTTCCATTCAAGGTTGATATTCGAAGTCATATGGTACGACTCAAGATCATGTATCGAGGAAATCATGCAAGGTCGAAGACAAGTGGTGGGGAAGGTTCAGAACCGTCATTGGCCCTCTACTGGTTTTCCATTACAATTTTCATTTTTTGGATAGTGAAAAATCTCGGTCAATGAAAATCTCTGATTTACTCCAGAACAAAATGATTATTGTTCAACATTTCTGCATGATAATCAAATACGAATATGTTTCAAAATAAATTCCTTTTTTGTAGCATATATTACATGTAGGTATCAATAAGAAATAATATGAATCTGTGTATCTTTTAGCAGGAATAATCCATATAGAAAAACAGCTTCTTAGTTATTCATAGGTTCTCAGTGTAGGTTAGGTACTGATTCAAATATGAAATACTAATAATAGATTTCCCAGGTTCCTCCGACTTTCATGCCTTTGAAATATTGATATTTGGGATGCAGGCCGAAGAAGTACAATACAATTTTGACAATCTATATTACAGGCGAAACAAAGTCTACAATATGATATCATGAAGAAAGGTCCAATTTCATGATTTCCAAATCCAGAAAAAAATGATTACAGAGATTTCCACAATCTTGACTGACATTGATTCGTTTGTTGTTGGCAAATAGAATATTCAATTAACGAAGACTTGTATATCGGTCTACTTTTCCACTAATAAGTTCAATCTACTAAAAAAAGTTGAAATTGAAGATTACTTCGATTTCTCTTCAAATCCATTTTTTTCCTTTAGTCTTCTGAACATTGTTTTTTCAGTCATTCGGTCCTTTTTAGAGAAATGTGAAATTATAGAATTTTCATTTTGATTCCAAGTACCACTATATTTCATACACAGTGCATTTCTTTAATCTCTCCCCCCTTTTATATTTTGAACGGGTCAACTCAAAAAATTGAAATTTGTGATAATGAAATTAATGCATGAATACTTTATTTTGAAGTGAAATTGACAAATGTTACTTTCAAGATGCCGACTGGGCGCCATCTGGGAAAAAAAATTAAATGGAAAGGGGGATCTTGTGACACATCATTTTGAAGCTCGTGACGAATACTTCACAACCCTAGAATATGAAGTCAATTCTTCACCTAGTACAAAATGGCAGAACATTTAATAATTTCCCGAAGACGAACACATTAATATCGATATTTCTAGAAATATTTTTTTTATCTGCCATATGACAATTCCAACAACCCGATAAGGTTGGTTAAGTTATTTTTTATTTATTAAAATAACAAAAAATGTCAGTACGACAGTGAACATCATTTTTCAGTTAGGATATTTTCATTTAGTTTTCGGTTTTACTAGTAGAAAGGTACCCCGTCAACAATCTCTAAAATGCTCAATTCTCGTCCATTGAAAGAAAAAATTGAAACGATATTTATTTATGGTGCGACGCGTAGCTTTCTCGAGACCGAAAGGATTTTCAATAAACGTTTTCCGAATCGTCCTATCTGTGGAAAATATTTGAGGGAACTTGTATCTAAATTCACAACTACCGGTAGTTTACCTAACAAAAAGCCCGCAGGTCATCCGTCCACTTCGGAAGAACAAACAGCAAGTGCAAATAATTGGTGAGATGGTAGTAAATCCTGAACAGTGTACATATTCCGTCGCGAATGTTCGTGAGGTGTCTCCTTCTACTGTGTGGAGACTTTTGAAGAGGAATAGATATCATCCATACAAAATTAACATGGTACACCAATTAACTAAAGATGACCCTGATCGAAGAACATAATTCTGCGAAATCATGACGGAAACCATTGCAAGGCATCCTACCTTTTCTCCACAATATTTTTTTAGTGACAAATGTACATTTTTTTTAACGGCAATTTTCACAGACAAAATTGCCGCACACACCCGATATCCAAAAAAAATAACGTTTGGGCAGGAATATTGGGAAACCATATTGAAGTATCTCTATTTATTGATCAAAATATAAGAGGGGAACTGTATTCAAATATGCTGGAAACTACTGTTGACCCTTTCATCACTGAAATCGTCGAAGCGAATCCTAATGAATTCGATATGGATATTGTATTCCACCAAGATGGAGAACCTCCATATTACTCCAGACAAGTAAGAAATTATTTGGATACTACTTTTCCCCGTCGTTGGATTGGCCGTCGAAGTCCTACAGAATGGCCAGCCCGCTCGCCAGATTTGACAACTTTGGACTTTTTTTATGGGAACCTGCTTCAATATTGGATAAACGGCAGAGAATAATAAATATTTGTAGAGATATTGACGTTACTGTGTTCAAAAATGTTCGGCGTGAAATATCGGATATCGTATGTCAAGAAGGTCAATGCAACCATTTCGAGCATCTTCTGAACTGACCTCAAGCTTATTACCTCATATTATGTAGTTAAATGTGAATGTATTCAGTCAATTATTAAAAGTTCCGCCATTTTGTAGTAGTTGAAGATATTGACATTATATTCTAGGGTTGTGAAGCATGTGTCAGGAGCTTCAAAAAGATGTATCACAAGAGGGGGGGTCTACAGAAACAACTTCAATAGATACGATAATGACTAGACAAAACTGAAGCACACATTCTTCCTATACTTTTATGCAATGATTCTCATCAGTGGTGATGTGCTGGATAGAGAAGTACATAATCCAGAATTATTTTCCAGGTACGACGTTCGGAAATTTTGGAACTAATTCAAAAGGTAAAATGTAAAGAAAGTCCTGTCCACCGTTTTTCACCTATGTAACGATCCCAAAAAAACACTACCCTCACGATTACTAAATAACTCAAAAGATGCATACTCTAAAACAATAATAAGATGTTTCACATGCAGCAGCATGGAAGAAATATTTACCGTTTGATGTTACTATTTGTCACACACTGGTGTTCTCATTGACAAAAAAAATTCCATAATAGATAACTGTCGGAGTCCAATATTATGAAAGAAAGAGTGGTTCGGGAGTAAAATAACGATAACATTTTAATATGGTAACCATTTGACTATTGATTTTGTTTGAAAATAAATATTTTTTTATCAGATGGAAACATGAATACTTACTCTAAAAAAGGCCACATAAAATAAAGCTGCGTAATTATTAGCAAAAGATAATAAATATCTCTTATACAATACTGAATTATCGTACTGTTTTTGTGTTCTGGGATTTTCAAAGTCGGTAAGCCAAATAGAAAGTTTTCCATAAATCTGAAAATAAGAAATGATCCATTACTCTCTATGTTTGTAACAATAAACATATAAACGTCAAAATTTAATCTAAAAATTGATATAATAATGAATTNTCGTATTTTGTTAGGTGACTTTGAGTAAATATTTTGAAGTAGGAAATTCTCAAGGCTCTCTCTTTAGGTATTCTTGGCTTTTGCTTCCGTACCGAGCATTTAGCCAAAATTCTCAAGGCTTACTAGTAATTGAAAATAATTGCCGATTAACTGTAAAGTTATAAATTTGCTCATCTGGATAAAATTTTCTCCGAGGTAGTCAGTTATGAATCTGGTCAATTGTGAATTGTTCGAAGTGTGAGATTTGGATAATTGATACACAATCAACAAGAAACAGTAAACTAATTGATGCACATATTATTAATTTTTTTACCGTTTGTCGTAGGAAATATACCTGTCTTCGTCTGAGATGTTTTAACAAGGGCATTTTTCCATGGATTATTCAATTTTTAGACGAATTCATTGAATAGTTACTCAACATTACTGTTACGTAACGTAAACCAAACCGTTATTTTCAACACTTTGACACATGTTTCAATTTACAAGTGATCATCTTCAATATACATTCAATATTGTCCTTATTCATACCATAGATACCTCTGCTAGGTGCCTGCGTCTCTATTTTCTTAAAATTAATTTCATAATAATGCCTTATCTACTAGTCAAGTAAACCTGATACCTAAAAATATTATTCGAAAAAGCTACATAGTAAACTATTAGGTATTGTTCCACCATCGTTATCCATAAAACTATTATTTCGACTCATTTCTAAGCTCTCATAGTCATCTAGATGCATATGGTTAAATTGTCTAACTAATCTTAATGAACTAAAGTCTAGGGAATGGTTTTGTTGCAAAACATGATGAGCACTGCTGAATTTTCTGATCTTCCAAATTTTAGGTGTGCTGAGTATTCCTCATACTTTATTTTAATAGATCTTTCAGTCTGTTCATAATATTTTGCATCGCAGTCATTTAATTTCTTAAATTCCAGACTTTTCCGAATTCTCGACTTCGCTCTTATAATTTCCTGAAAGGCTCTGTATTGTATAATTTGTTTTGAATACCACCTTCATACTTAGTTTTTTGATAATCTTTCACAAGTTCTTCGTGTGATGGAACTGATATATATTTATCTTGGTTTTCGTCTTTTCTAAAAGTCGAGAATTCGTTAATTTTAATGTGAACTTTTCTTCCTACAATACATCTCGAGAAACCGTTACTGGCTGCTATTACCTGTATTGTAAACCTCTCATGTGTGAGAGAAAACGTCAAAAGATGATGTACTAGAAAATTCAACCCAACACGTTTGTGTTGTCCACAGTGTGCTTGTTTCCTTCCTAAATACATCGTATTCTAGCTTTCCATATTGACTCCTCATTACCATGCAAGCTTATGCAGATAACCTGTCATCCTGGCAAGGTCCTGGCAGACTTGTGCACACTGCCAATTGCACAAATCAATTTAATGTAGAGTGCAACAGACTGTTGGTTCACTGGAAGTCACAGCATTCTGGAAATTACTTTTGACTTTATGCCTCCAACTGTCAACTACGAACTGCCTTATGAATTACTATTCCCGAGTAGAGAGGACTGGATCCTCCGGGAGAAGGAAATATTAAAAGCAGATAGTTGTTGGTTCACAGATGGATCAAAAACACCTTTCAATCGCTTGATAACTTTTTTTTTGTTTTTATTATCGTTTATTGATTTTCTCTTGAATCAGTCCTTTCGAGGAATCAGGCATCTGTTGAACACTAGCCATGATATCCTCGAAATTATTTTCGGAAGACGGAATGCCAAATTTCAAACAGTTATTCAAAAGGTCGATCTCTGTGACATCCTGTATATAGTTGTTTTATTTAAGTTGAAATCATCACAAGTGGCGACGAGGATGGGATTAATTAACTATTATGGGATATTTGTTCCAAACCTTGCTTCTGTTTTGCATCCGCTGTATAACCTGCTCAAGTCGAATTTAAGATGGGAATGGTCTGATGAATGCAAATTTGCATTTGAAAAGGTTAACCAGTTGTTGATGTCAGCACAAGTATTGGTGCATTAAGATGAGAATTTACCATTACGTTTAATAACGGATGCTTCAGATAAAGGCCTGGGGGCTGTGATCACACATATAATGCTTGACGGTTGTGAGAAGCCTATTGCTTTTGCCTCAAAAATCTTGCCAGAGGCTGAAAAAAATTATTTTCGAATGGAAAAAGAAGGTTTAGCAGTTATTTTTGGTCTTTGCAAATTCAATAATTATGTATACATGAGAGAGTTCACGACCGTTTACTTCAACTATAACATCGGTTACTAATAGACTAGTCAATCGTGACAGTTATTTGATTCGAAGGCTGTTCGTTTGTATGAAATAAAATTACTTTTTTCTTGAGTATCCAAGTCCAAAAATCGAAAAGGACAGTATTGCTGAAAAGAGAATTGGAAACCCTTTTGAACGCGGTATCACAAGCTTACACTTTTTCATTGAAAATTTTTACAGGGGTAGTCCTAGGGGTTGAAGGAGCAATTGAAATATATTTTAATATATGATATCTAATTGACTTCTTTTAGCATTTTTCATTTGCATTTATAATAACGTAGAAAATACATTCATTGGATACTTTAGAACCTCACTGTGTATGATTCACTGTAAGTGCGATGTGATTCAGGTTCTTCCGCATTTGATAAAAAATATGAGTGTGCGAGTTTGGTATGTTCAATTCCGAGTATAATACTCACACAATGACTAGTAGATCTGCTTATTACTAGTATTCCTGTTAGTCTGAGTGATCATTAGATATATCTTCCTAAGTCAAATTTTTCTACCACAACTGGTGTATCGAATATAACAACAACTTACCGATCCAAATATTTTGATAAAAATTACTTGAAGGATGCAACCAAAACACATCGATATCGTTTTGGAGTGGTGTTTAAAATATGCCACATCCATAAGGGATGACTTTAAGGTCATCTTCAACGTATTTATACTCAAACCTGCTGCGAGAACTAAAACGATCTGAAAAAAAATCATAACAGTTTACTTTCGCATCTAGAACTTCCATTTCTGTAGGGCATAAGAGAATTACTGAAGGGGATCAAAGATCACTACTCTCATCACGATAGCATTGTCACTGAAAACGGAATTTGCTATTATGGAAATATGTACCTGGCCGTCATAATAAGAAAATATGATTTTTCTCCCCTTGTATTTTGGTACCAGAATACATTTCAAATTTCCCTCCGTACAGTTGCTGAAACTGAGGGACTTTCTGTCAAATTTATATTTTGAGTGTTGAATAGTCGTATGATGACTATTCCCACAATAGATTGAACACGTGACAATTCATACGTTTCTCAATAATTTTGAACAGAATTAGAATATTTTTTGGTCAATATTTTCTAATTTCTACGTTTTGTCACTTTTGGATATTGTCTTGACTTTTTCAAATTTCATTTCCTCAGGAATGATTTCTGTATCGATATACTACTAATGGAACAATCTTTGATTTTATTGTTCTCACAATTTTGGTGGTTATTTCATCAAATCCTATATTTTCACAACTACTTCCATAGTAAAAGTCCTGAAACCTATACTTACCATGAAAGTACACATAGAAATAGATAATATCAAACGAGCAGCTCTTATATAACCAGGAAAGTAAGGTTCTAAGCGTCCAGTGATATAATTGAATTTTCTGGTTTGGAAACGATCAAGGTATTCTTGCCTGTGGAATGAAAGTGAGATAAGTTCATTCATAAAATTTCATAATATATAAAAACGATCATAATCAATCTTCTGAATGAACTGACAAAAGTCTTGAAAAATGAAACTTGCACTAAAACAAATCATGAATGAATATACGCTTATAAATACAGACACACATAATAAAGATATTCAGAAGGACAAATGAAAAATAATATCAATAATAAACAAATAAACACAAAAATGACTCAATAATATGTTCTAATACAACAATTCATGTATCAGTTGAAATCATGAAGAATTGCAGTCGATATCATAGTTTATACAAATTTACCTATGAAAAATCCATATTTTCTATCCTTTTATTTAAATTTTGTACGAAAAAATATGTTTATATAATCCAGCACCTTATCAGGTATTTAAGGAATTATATACATGAATTTTTTGAATTACCGTTGTTTTAGTGTTTTCTAGCGTACTTGTTAATTTGTTTTGTGAATCATGTTTCATGGTTGTTACACTGTATGTTCGATTTATTATTTTTACATATGAATATTTGATCAGCATATGTGAATATCACGATTGCAATTGTTGAAANATCGCTAATAAATCCTAAAAAATGTTCTCGAACCTCTACAGTTTTAAAAAAATCATCAACAAAAACAAATGTAACAACAATTGTGATTTGTTCTTGATGACTTATGTCAGGTGTGCAATCAAGGATAATTGAAAAATATTTGCACATTTTTAAGGATTCAATTATATATTTTTTTAAAACTTTTCCTCCTACTAAGGTGATTATTTCATTTTGGATTTTATCGCCCAAATAAATTGGCATTTTTTTGCCATCTTTTTGAATCCTGCCGATATGGTCAGCATTACACTATCAAATTTTGCAATTGTCTCAATTAATTTCATAAAATTGCCATTACTTTTTTCAAATAGTTTTTGACTGTTGCCCCTAAAAGCTAAATTTTGTTCAGCCAAAAATTGAACCACAAAAATAATTCTTTCTAAAACAGATGTCCATCTTTTTTCTATTTGAAATAAATTCTGATTCACATAATCGACAGTTAAACCTTTTTCAATTGATTTTTTCAATTCTACCCATTTCTTAACACTTTCGAAATGCCCCTTACTAGTTTCGTGTCTCTCTAAACCCCGAGACAAGTGTTGTCAGTCCCTAAAACCATTATTATCGCTGAAACTATTAGAAGAAGCTTCAAATAATTTGCAGGAAAAGCAGTATACTGAATCTTCAGATTTTGAGTAAATAAACCAGTTTCAAAGTACTTTTTCATTATTGGTTAACTTTTTCACGAAGTAAGTAGAGCTAAAAGATCTGTTTAAATTATTTACAGGATAAATAATATTTTTTAATTGACCTGGACTTATGTCTAAAATTATTAGTCTAACAGTATCTGTCAATACTTCTGGCCAATATGCTTGATATTTAAATTGGTCTCCACTTACATCAATATCTGCGGTTTCGGTTTGCGTATTAGGTATTTGGTGAGGGAGTATTCGTTGTATCCTGGTCCAGTGTAATGTTTTCGGCGGTCGATTTATTTTGGTCCTGTTCTTCTGCATCGTTTTCACTTAATTTGAAAGGTTGAACATCTAGGGCTTGGCTTGTTGAAGGTTGAGGTTGTGTACTCGTCGTGGTGGTCGTGGATACAAAAAACTTTTTTAGTGAGCCAGCTAATCGCTTGTGGTGTTCCTCTTTTTCTATCTTTCTTTTTCGATATTGTGAACCAGAAAGTCTCTTTCTACCATCAGTACCATCTGCCATCTAAATCTAAATCAGTAAATAACAGTTTATAATTTGAACAAAAATAAAGACCGGAAATTTTTTTATGCTAAAAAAATTAAATCAGTAAAAAGTGCAAAATACTACTTTAACTTCATATGATATATGTAGGTCATAAAAAGCTATTTGGAATGAACTTACCATTCACAATACAGTGATAACAGTAATAATACAATGTATAACAGAAATAATTTTCAAAAAAATTTCACTAATAGGCAACTTGTCATTCAATTTGCAACTATCTTTCGGTAAAACTTACTCGCATGAAAGAAAACACAGAAAACACGAAACACGTATAGACGTATATATTTCGGCCCGAAATATTAATTCCCCGATAGTTTCGGAATATCCCCGAAAATATCGGAGAATTCTCTATACGCCGCCACCGTTGCATGTAATAGCATCGGTCAGCGCCAGCTACGCTCAATTTTGGTACTATTGTTTTTATTATACTAATGTATATTATACATCACAGGGAAAGGCGCTATCTTCTTAATAGTAACTATTTGGCCAGTTATGTTATTTTTTTGCACTTTGCATGCGTGGCGTTTCGAATTAATTTTTTTGATATTTATATTTTAATATTTTTGGGTAAATTTTGCCGCCCCAAGCGAGCGCCGCCCACGTGCCACGTATATCTTGTACCCCGGCACGGCTCGGCTCTGTAGAAGACTTTGTAATGAATTAAATTACCTGCGCTTATGTCCCAGTTTTCACATTTGAAAAATATTTAGTAACGGGGAGTCATTCTATTCTAATTGATCATTCAGTAAATTACCCGAACTCCTGAATCTAGTGACTTCTAAACATTCTAGAATTGGTCTTTCAATTCACAAAACTACTTCTATTCTCTTTAATTCTTTGGGAAATAGTTCTCCCTGTTTGGCCAATATAAAGTTTTTGGACAAGAGCCACAAAGTCAACTCATATACTCTCGATGTATCTGACTCCAAAGTTTTGACTTTTTTGTTTCAGATACATTCACAGATACATACACTATAATTCGTTCTGTAAGCTACGTTTACGTATTCGTTCTTTAAAAAATGGGCAATGTTATTGGTTGGTTCACTCGAATATGACAATGTTCTATAACTGACGTCCAAATACTTCAAATACTCTGATTAATCTCTTCCTTGAGTTTATTCTCAATATTTATTTGATTCGAAAAGTGCTTTCTTCAGTTTATTTCGAATGCTCATTTGATTCAAAAAAGGTTTTCATTTAGTTCATTCAGAATGCTAATTTCATTATCAATGTTTATTTGGTTTGAAGAATGTCTTTCATTCATTTGCAGTCAGAAATGTTTTCGTTGAGTTTATTCTGAAATCAATAACGTTTATTATAATTTCTTTGAATTTTCACCACTCATCAAAGACTACTGAATGTTTTAGAAGCATTAGAATCTTGAAGACTGATCAATGTGGTGCCACAATTNTTCTTCTGCATCGTTTTCACTTAATTTGAAAGGTTGAACATCTAGGGCTTGGCTTGTTGAAGGTTGAGGTTGTGTACTCGTCGTGGTGGTCGTGGATACAAAAAACTTTTTTAGTGAGCCAGCTAATCGCTTGTGGTGTTCCTCTTTTTCTATCTTTCTTTTTCGATATTGTGAACCAGAAAGTCTCTTTCTACCATCAGTACCATCTGCCATCTAAATCTAAATCAGTAAATAACAGTTTATAATTTGAACAAAAATAAAGACCGGAAATTTTTTTATGCTAAAAAAATTAAATCAGTAAAAAGTGCAAAATACTACTTTAACTTCATATGATATATGTAGGTCATAAAAAGCTATTTGGAATGAACTTACCATTCACAATACAGTGATAACAGTAATAATACAATGTATAACAGAAATAATTTTCAAAAAAATTTCACTAATAGGCAACTTGTCATTCAATTTGCAACTATCTTTCGGTAAAACTTACTCGCATGAAAGAAAACACAGAAAACACGAAACACGTATAGACGTATATATTTCGGCCCGAAATATTAATTCCCCGATAGTTTCGGAATATCCCCGAAAATATCGGAGAATTCTCTATACGCCGCCACCGTTGCATGTAATAGCATCGGTCAGCGCCAGCTACGCTCAATTTTGGTACTATTGTTTTTATTATACTAATGTATATTATACATCACAGGGAAAGGCGCTATCTTCTTAATAGTAACTATTTGGCCAGTTATGTTATTTTTTTGCACTTTGCATGCGTGGCGTTTCGAATTAATTTTTTTGATATTTATATTTTAATATTTTTGGGTAAATTTTGCCGCCCCAAGCGAGCGCCGCCCACGTGCCACGTATATCTTGTACCCCGGCACGGCTCGGCTCTGTAGAAGACTATAAAGTGGTTGCGGAAAGGATACTTGAAGAAAACAGAGAATGTCGAAAAACTTGAAACACCTTCTGCAAAATATACATACAATTTTCAGAGAATAGGCCAAGAGATTACAAGAAAGAAAGACTAGGATTCAGGCGAATATTAAAAGGAAACAAATGCTTGTAGTTACATTGTCAAAACGAATAGTCTAAAGAAATATGAAGAGAACCAGTTTTGTGAAAAATATGTATAATAGATAACATTTCAAATATACAGGGTGTAACTGAATAAGTGTAAAATATTCAAGGAGATGATTCCTCATTGGAAAAAAGATAGGATCTTTCATATGAAGAAACTTCATTGGAGCATCCCTTGTTAAGATACAGCCCCTTGAAGGGGGTACATAAAAGTTGTGTAACAATTTTTTTCACAAGCACTGAAAAAGTTATAATAATTCTCCGAGGTAGTCAGTTATGAATCTGGTCAATTGTGAATTGTTCGAAGTGTGAGATTTGGATAATTGATACACAATCAACAAGAAACAGTAAACTAATTGATGCACATATTATTAATTTTTTTACCGTTTGTCGAAGGAAATATACCTGTCTTCGTCTGAGATGTTTTAACAAGTGCATTTTTCTATGGATTATTCAATTTGTAGACAAAGTTTTTAAATAGTTACTTAACATTACTGTTACGTAACGTACACCAAACCGTTATTTTCAACACTTTGACACATGTTTCAATTTACAAGTGATCATCTTCAATATATATTCAATATTGTCCTTATTTATACCATGGATACCTCTCCTAGGTACCTGCGTCTCAATTTTTTTTAAATTAATTTCACAATAATGCCTTATCTACTAGTCAAGTGAACCTGATTACTGAAAA